GAGGTTGGTTAGGCCACCACTGGAGGTTGGTTAAGCCACCACTGGAGGTTGGTTAGGCCACCACTGGAGGTTGGTTAGGCCACCACTGGAGGTTGGTTAGGCCACCACTGGAGGTTGGCTAGGCCACCACTGGAGGTTGGTTAGGCCACCACTGGAGGTTGGCTAAGCCACCACTGGAGGTTGGCTAGGCCACCACTGGAGGTTGGCTAGGCCACCACTGGAGGTTGGCTAGGTCACCACTGGAGGTTGGCTAGACCACCACTGGAGGTTGGCTAGGCCACCACTTGAGGTTGGCTAGGTCACCACTGGAGGTTGGCTAGGTCACCACTGGAGGTTGGCTAGGCCACCACTGGAGGTTATTTAGGCCACCACTGGAGGTTGGCTAGGCCACCACTGGAGGTTGGCTAGGCTACCACTGGAGGTTGGCTAGACCACCACTGGAGGTTGGCTAGGCTACCACTGGAGGTTGGCTAGGCCACCACTGGAGGTTATCTAGGCCACCACTGGAGGTTGGCTAGGCCACCACTGGAGGTTGGCTAGACCACCACTGGAGGTTGGCTAGGCCACCACTGGAGCTTGGTCAGGCCACACCACAATAACTGACCGACGAATCTCTAAGTATACTTTAGTCCTTGAACATTTCCAGCACTAAAGTAAACTCGGCATACTCGCTATACACCTCTCGGAGTATATTTCCATTGTGACATAGTCTTCGTAGATTAATTATTCATACCGTAATCCCTGCCGTCACTTGTTCATATATTCATAGCTCCGTTGCTAGCGCTCGAGTGAACATGCTCTCTATAACATTAATGATTGAACATTGTTAGAATGCATAGGACTTTCTCGGAAACGTCGTAGCATGGCAAAGCGAGTAATTTCGGGAATGCAGTACGCAGACTCTTAAGTCTGTACGTATTGCTGTATTAATACGTATTGCTGTAACGTGGGCGTATCGGGGAGGAGGCATACGTGGCCACATGGAGGAGGAGGTATGTGGCCACATGGAGGAGGAGGTATGTGGCCACATGGAGGAGGAGGTATGTGGCCACATGGAGGACACAGACAGGCAGACGCAACAGCCAGAGATCGGGAAGCCTTGTTGATTGCATTGTTTAGCGCAGGTGGCCGACGGAAACCTATTGTGATAAGCCGGCTTGTATTAGATAATGGGCCCTCTCCTGCTCTGTCTGTGTGTGTGGGGGGGGGAGAGGGTTCCGGTCTACATCTACACTGATACATTCCTACACTACTGTATTTTAATGATACATTGTACCAGCAAAGAGAAAGGTACATTCCCATCTGTAATTAACATAAGTTTTTTATTTACAGTTAAAAGTTTTCTCTCCTCTCGCCAAATCTTAAAAGAAAACACATCTTTTTCTCCCATCGCGGATGGTTGGAGAACTCGAACAGTTGTGTGCTCAGCCAATATATATTTTGTTTACAGAAATCCAAAAAATGTCTTTCAAATTTCTCGACTTTTTTCTTTATATAAAGGATCTTTTGAGACTTTCCTGTATGGGTCGACGGATATTTTCTTCTGGTAGTAACCATATTCAGTGATCAGAACCGCTCCCATGGTCACTGACCCCTTCCCTGGATGTCCGGTGACTCCCTTCTCCCCCCCCCCCCCCCCATGTCCAGCTGGACGGTAGAGCGACGGTCTCGCTTCATGCAGGTCGGCGTTCAATCCCCGACCGCCCAAGTGGTTGGGTACCATTCCTTTCCCCCCGTCCCATTCGAAATCCCTCTCCTGATCCCTTCCCAATGCTATATAGTCGTGTATACATAATATACACATTTTGCCTTAACCCACAGTACCGCTTACTCCCATACATCCCCAATTTACTCCCCTTTTCGCTTATTTACCCTCCTGTTCACCTATTTACTCCCCAGTTCCCTTATTTACTTCCCTCTTCTATTTTTGGTCTTGCCCTCAACCTTCACCTCCACGCTCCTCACCCCAACAAAACCTTTGAGCTAATCTTTACACTGCTGGATCTTTTCCATATCAATACCGCCTCGGAGCTCACCAGTGCTACAGCTCCCTTGTGAGGTTCCTGTTTACCTTCCGCCATACCTTCAACTTGCCTGCTGCATAAAATGTTGCACGTCTGGCTCTTCAGTGGGTGTTCACAGTGCTGCTGGCTCGCCTGTTGCTTCTTGATTTACTGTTCAGTGGGTGTTCATAGTGCTGACGGTCCTCCTGTTGCTTCTTGATTTACTGTTCAGTGGGTGTTCACAGCGCTGCTAGCTCGCCTGTTGCTTCTTGATTTACTGTTCAGTGGGTGTTCATAGTGCTGATGGTCCTCCTGTTGCTTTCTGTTCTCTACCATCAAGCAAATATCTTTAATTGAGGAGCCCCCTTTTTACACAAACATTCCCATATTTAAGACTACTATAAGCTTACTTTCAATGTTGTCTTACAGAAAGAGTCGGCAATTCCATGTCAATTCACTTGCTTTCTTTCTGACTTGTAGTACCTCTGCCTTACCATACACTGGCTTAGCGTACTCTGGCTATTTATTTCTGTGTTGCAATACCCCCCCTAACTATTCCGAGTAGCTTTGGGTCGTGTTATATCATCTGAGGACCTCCATGCCTTGACAGATGTCGCGTTGAGTGAATTTGGTCATCTTGAATCCTGGTCGAAGCTATTTAACAGTCTCTCCGTTAGCAGGGTTATCTTGAGGTTATCTTGAGATGATTTCGGGACTTTTTAGGGTTGTGTTAGATACACAGCTCTGTGTATCTAACCATCCCCCATCTCGCAGAATGGTTAGTCATACAGGGTCATATGTTCAGTAGCCTGCACTGGCAAATTTTGGGTGAATTATGAGGATATCTTCAAGAACACGAGAGTGAATAAAGTGAGTGAATAAAGTAATTGCAAACAGACACAATATAGTTATACAGATGCTAAAGTCTACGGACACTGGACAGAACATTTCACATACACTGAGGTTGAGGGTGCAAATGGGCCGACCGCCTTCAGTAAGGAATGGGGCGGACACCGAATCAGTATGACTCTCCCCGTAAAATTGCGATTAACCCTGTAAAGTTTAATGAGACTAGCCTCGAACGTCAGGCCTCCAACCTTTGACACGCAAAGATACATTCTGTTTAAAGATATAGATAGTATATCATGTAATCATTATAATTCTATTTTTATATGGCTCTTTTTCAGATCTATAATGAATTTGATCTTTTTTATCGAAATCAGTTATAGATGCATAATCACTTGATTTTTAATATATAAAATAACAATCTTCATAACTTCAATATACTTCGGCTTACAGTGTAGAACATTGAATTTACCTCAACAGCATCTACTGTCAAGTTTCTCCAAGTTATCCACTCCAAAGACAGCTCACATAATATTCTACATTCATACAAAACGCAGCTTCACATGTTTTTCTAATCTCTTACCAAACGCCGCTTCACATAATATGGTTTGCTAATCTCATACAAAAATAAGTTGGTGCAGGTAACCCTGTGTACAGTTTTTTATATATATGTGATTAGAACGGGGAAAAGATAGTTGTTGCAAATAAACTACTGATGGGTGGAAAGTCGGGACCCCAGGAGTTTACTCTCTGTAAACACATCTAGGTGAGCGCGCGCGCACACACGCACACACACACACACACACGCACGCGCACTTCATACACACACACTTCACACACACACACACACACACACACACACACACACACGCACGCGCACTTCATACACACACACACACACACCATACACACACACACACACACACACACACACACACACACACACACACACACACACACGCGCACTTCATACACACACACACACACACACACACACACACGCACGCGCACTTCATACACACACACACACACTCATACACACACACACACACACACACACACACACCATACACACACACACACACACACACACACACACACACACACACACACGCACGCGCACTTCATACACACACACACACACACACACACACACACACACACCATACACACACACACACACACACACACACACACACACACACACACACACACACACACACACTTCATACACACACACACACTTCATACACACACACACACTTCATACACACACACACACACACACACACACACACACACACACACACACACTTCACACACACACACGCACACACACACACACACACACACACACACACACACACACACACACACGCACACACACGCACACACACACACACACACGCACACACACACACACACACACACACAAACACTATAAGACACCTGCGATTCAATATAGAGAAATGCGTTTACAACCTAACAAAGGACAGGTGTTCATGCGGAAAGTTGCAATATAGTGTCTAGAGAGGCCGCAGTAGGAGGCAGGAGAACACAGGTAACCTACGGGGAGCCAGGAACTGTGCAGCTAACAAACGCTATCGGCACTGGCAACAACAACAAAAAAAATACCTTCCCCCTCTCCACCCTCCCTTCCCCAACCTCCTCCTTACCCCCCCCCCCCCCCACCTCTCTTTTCCCCACTCTCTCTCTCCAGACAACACCACCCTTGTCCATTTTCCTCATTTCCACCATGCAAGTTTGTCTCTCCTCTTCTCTCTTAAAAGCCAGATCAGCCACCTACTCTGATTTATAAGTGTTCACTGTTGATTATAAGTGTTATATGAGCAATGGTAGGAACATTGACGGGAGCAATGGTCGAAACGGAGATAGAACAACCCGTCCTCTTAAAAATAACGTCACTTTTGGCTGGTATGTGCGCTATGGCCAAATTTGGACGTAATTTGAAATGAAATCGACTGACAAAAGTGACGTACTGTTCCGTTTTCTGTTTGAGTCGTCCGGCTTACTCGGCCAGCTTAGAAAAGGATTCTTTCCATTAACGTTTTTCATACCGTTTTGAAACTTTATGAGAATTTCCTGCCCACCTAACCTATCAAATGACACTTAACTTACTGTTGTTGAAAAAAAAATCCAAAATTTATATTCATTTTCATATTACGTCCATTTTCGGCCATACTGGCAAACGGCCAAAAGCGACGTTCTTTTTAAGAGGACAGGTTCGAAACTTTGAGAAGAGCGATGGTAGGAGCAATATTACACCAACAGCATTCATCACTGGAGATTTGGCCACCTGGTGGTCGCTAAACAAACTTCTCATTAACATAACAATACAATAGACAGAGCAGAAGCTGCCGACAACCTGGTAGATCTATTCCCTCCCTCCGGTGCCGGCCCCACTCAATCTCCCTTGCTACTGCAGGTACTGCACTGGTCCACCAAAGTAAGACTTGACATCTTACAACCCGCGTCATCTTACAACTACAAGATACCAGCTTCCGTTCAAGACTAGTACCAGTCACCTTGAGCTCGTCTCCAGCAAACCACTCTGCCCGCTTCTGAACGCTTGCGATTACAGTGATTATCACTGAGGCAGAGGTTGATATGCAGGTAATTATTGTCGAATAGATTGTGATGAGTGACAGGTGAATGGGGAGAGGGGGGGTCGCAGTATCTAGTCGTGTGCTGTGAGTGGCTTGTCGCGCCTGTGCCCGCCTGCCCTCTGGTCTCCACGAGTGCCCTGCAGTGCCTGGCAGTGTCTAGTGGCCGCTACCTGTGGTGGGCGCTTGGCAGGATTGACGGGGAGTCGGGGAGGCGGGGCGCACATGATGAAGCATTCGCTGTATCCGGTGCTGGGAGCCAACAGGTGTTGTGTAGTATCGCTTGGTGATCCGCTCAGCAAGGGCGAGGAGTCTGGAGAACATCTGTGTATTTCAGCTGGGAATCGGTGTTTACAATAACGCAGAAACCTTAAGATGAAAAGCCCTGCGAGCAAGAGAAATGCCGAGTGTTAAAAATGTTCGTCCGGAAGCCAAGGTGGTCTTAAAGTGAACTTTGGGGAGGAGAAGCCCATGTACGGTACTCCGGAGATGATGCCAGGAGAGGCAGTGATGGAGATGGTACACATTATGTGCGTCTTAACATTTTAGACACGTGTTGCGTTGTCTGTGAAAGTCTGTTTGCCCTTACTGACATGTAGCAAGTGCATTTTAGATTGACACAGACTCGTTATATGAACCAGGGATGTGGTCAGTAAAGTAGGTGAACCAGGATGTCTTCCTCTAGGCAGAAATACGGCTTTTGACTGAAGACTTGAAGAACATTCACATGTTTCTGACCCCACAATATTGTCAGACTGTTGGAGGTAAGAGACATATTCGGGGCTGTTTTAAAATGGGAATTTTCTGAGCAGTGTAAGTTGGATTTTCTCAACAGTGCAGGTCACATTTTTCTGCGAATTTTACACTGTAACTATTCACTTGTGTGTAAATGGATCACTAGTCGTAAGTATGTGTGGATCACCAGTATAGAATGGTGTATCTAGCGTGTGTAGTTGCAAGGTTAAGCGAGTGAGATTGCAGAGTACTTTCAACGTTGAGGATTAATGGTCAGACCACTTGAACAGTGAAACAATAGTCAGCACATTTATTGTTCGTGTGAGAACATTCAACTAGTAGTTGCTTAATTCAATTAACCATTTCAAATTCAACTAATTTAAATCCACTTACTGATAACTAATTCAACAAAATTAGCTGTTTTCATTGGTATGCTTCAGACGGAACGTGTGTAACAGGTGAAGTCTAAAGTCTTATTTGTTGATTACTGTTCAGCCTTCATTGGCTGAACTATGAATAGTGGCAGCCACTATTCAGTCTTCTCTATAAGAAGACTGTTCCCTCTTCTTATAGAGATGGCAGAGGGAAGGACAGACAAGAGAAAAGGGGGTTCGCATGACACTCGATAAATCATTTTAAAACTTGACTAATTTGACATTACGAAACGAGGAAATACACGACGTAAAATGCAATTGTATTACTGTGGTTGATGATCGTGTTTATTGTATTAAATGTAAAATTATTTATAAGGAAACGCTGCCAAGTCAGTATAACTCATATAGAACGTGGGAGGAATATGAGGAGAATGATCTAGGAAGGGACGTAGGAATGGTGCCCAATCGCTTGGGCATCATCGGGGATCGAACGGAGACCGGCAAGAAGCGAGACCGTCGCTGTATCAACGAATTCAAGTGACTCGTTGATACAGTAAGTGATGGTAACGCGTTGATGGTAAGTGAAGAGTGAAGTGACTATTAAGTGGAAAGACAGATTTTTGTATTGCGCGCGATACAATTTTCCTGTTTAGAGACTGAATGATGCACTCAGTACCTGGCCAGGGAGGAGAGGGAGCGTGATCTGACCATCTGTATCGACCATCGACCTATAAGTCAAACCATTTACATGAACCGTGTACAAAATTTACATTTTGTTCCCTCCACTGCTAAAGTGTCCACCGAGAAGTGTATTGACAGGTAGCTTCTATAGCTTGCCAACCATTTTGCCATTGGTCTGACAGTCATTGCCTGGGGCCAACGCCTGGCCCGAGGCCCTCGACACAGAGGTCCTATGTTTACAATGTTCAGAAAATCACTGATCTCCTCTCGTTGAAATCATTGAAAATCTCCGATCTTTAATTCAGAAAATCAGTAGGAGCCGTGAGAAAGATTCGAACTTATGCGCTGCGAACACCCAACCAATGCCCTAGACCACTACACCACGACATGGTCGTAGTGTTGCGCTACATCACGTTAATGTGATTTTTTTGTGCCATGCTTTATTGACATCACCAGAGGCCATTATCAGGGGAAAGTACCAAGCCATTACGACTATATACTACTTGGGATCAGGATAAGGATTTGGGATGGGACGGAGAGGGAAGGACTCTAACCCTTGGGCCCCGGCTAGCCATGGTTAGTCTCTACCAGATGTCACCGGCGGTCATCCCAGCTGCTGAATGGAGAAGGGTCTATGACCTGAGAAAAGTTTGTACCCTTTTACGCCATCGCTACTAACATAAGGATTTTACATAACGATAACAAACCAATATTATTATTAACAAGATGCATTTCTAGGGTACGTGGCCCCCCATCACACCCCTCCCCCCATTTCACCCTTCAAGCCCCATCACCCCTCTCTCTCCCCATCACTACCCCCCCCCCACCCTCACCCCGAATGTTGCGCGGCCTGAAAATATTTATTGGACTAATACGGATTATAAAAACAGACAACAGAATAAAAAAAAGTAGGAAATTCCATCCGTACGTCAATAATCCCTATTAACCAATATGTAATTGATCTCTGCAGCATCAATACATTAGGAGCTCTAAGTATATACATTAATTATTCAGCTCGTAGACAATTTAGAGAATCATTTAAGCCTATACTCATAGCCTATACCCACGTTGATTCCTCTTAAGAACTGGATACTAATGAAGAATGAAAAGGAACTATTAGGAAAAATCGCCAAGCCATTACGAATAGCACTGGAAAGGGGGTCAGGATAAGCATTTGGGATGGGACAGGGGGATGGAATGGTACTTGGACGGTCGGGGATTGAACGCCGATCTGCATGAAGCGAGAACGTATACTAAACTAAAATAAACTAACCGTTTTGGAGAAGAATGACCAAAAGCAAACGGAAAGGTATTGTATAAGGCTGAGATGGTGTATAAGACCTGGATATAAATGAACAACTCCACAAGGGCCGTGACGAGGATTCGAACCTGCGTCCGAGAGCATCTCAGACGCTGCCTTAATCGACTGAGCTTAATCGATTTGATGCATCACGCAATTGTGATTTCTGTATGTAATGACCTGGATATACACCTTATACAAGTGGCTTAGCAGTTAACGCGGCTACTTGCAGAGCCTGGGAGCACTCTGGGCTCTACAGAGCTTAGTGGTTATCGCAGTGAAGCTCATTTTCGCCGGGATGCTGGTATCCTGCCTCTCTGTAACTCCCCGCTCAGTGGAGGGTGCGGGGTGGTAACTGGTTTATTTCGTACACACACGTACACACACGTACACACACGTACACACACGAACGAATTGTTTTGTTGTAATAATTATTACTTAACGTGGCGTAACCTAATTTTATTTCAACCTTGGCAAATCTAAACCCCACATTACTCACCCTAATCAAAAGTAAATTAACTTGATTCAATCTTATCAAGCATGAGCCAACTTATCTCAACCTAATCAAACATAAGCCAGCTTTACTTAATCTAACATAAACCATCCTATCTCAATCTAACTAACCTAACATAAAACAACCTAATTCAATCAAACCATAACTAACATAACCCAACCTAAATATAACACAAATCAAACTAGCTCGGCCTTACCTAGCATACCTAAATAAAACCTAATCTAACATATATATATATATTAATCCAATTTAACCGTGTGTACCCTAATCCAGCCAAGCCTAACCATTTTAACAATTAGAAAACGAGCTATGGGTTAAACACGTGTGTATATTTTGATCCTACAAAAAAATATAAATTCTGCAAATACACCAAGTTAAAAAAATTAACATTTCAAACATAAAATTATTTATAAATGATGTAAAATTTCTGTCGAAATCGAGACTTGAACAGAGAGGATTGAATGGACACTGATCCTTAACTGTTCACCATTGTTCACCCATTACCAATTGGGGGACCTGGTTGTAAACTGATTGGCATGTCGTGTTCCAGGGAAAACAGTAGGAGTAATGTTTACCATGAGCTATGGGAAGGGAAAGTTCTCAGCCTCCGTCAGAAATAATTTACATTCATACATGTGAAGTTAAAAAATATGCAATTATCATATCTTTTACCAAATAATATTTATTACGAACATTGCCCATTAACGAATGTGTGTGTGTGTGTGTGTGTGCGTGTGTGTGTGTGTGTGTGTGTGTGTGTGTGTGTGTGTGTGTGTGTGTGTGTGTGAGGGTCACCGGTTTTGAGTGGTCTGGTCACCACCTTTAAGCCGGTGGTCTATGGATCGATCGAGCCAGAAACAGCCATCAATATAATACGCTGAGTCACCAGTCTCTGATATTGTGTGTGAAGTTCGCCTCCGGTTGTGTAGGACCTTCGCACTCTGCTCCGGTTGTGGGGGACGTCCTACACTCTGCTCCGGTTGTGGGGGACGTCCTACACTCTGTTCCGGTTGTGTAGGACCTCCACACTGCTCCTGGCCACCCCTCTACCACTCTGGCCACCCACTCCACCACCCTGGCCTTATCCACCAGTATCAATAAGGTTAAAATTCGCATTAACATTAACTTCACCTTAACAAATAAATCTATTGCTATTATAGTAAACGTGGAATGAGTTCTGTGGCGCTCAGTCAGGTTAAGCACCGTTAAGTCCAACTCTTTAACTGGTTGGGTGACAGCATGCAAAGAACCTCGTGACTTGTTGGACAGAAAACCGGTTAGCTAGGCCCACTGTCTTAGCAATCAAGTCCCCCCTCGATAGACTCCTCATCCTAATACATCCAGGAACATGCATTACACAATGTTAACTAACAAAAAATATATATTCGCTATATTCTTAGGGTCCCCAGAGATAATATTTAAATATATTGAACACATATATAAGATGCAGAACATTGGAAAACGCAGACGGTGCTGTGCAGGGGTGCAGAGCACAGTTTATGTAGTCAAAGTCTGTAAAGTTTCCATTTTATGCTGATCCGGGGAAGTCGTATGTTTGATAAGATAACTGCTGAAAATATTATTACTAGACAAAGCCTGATGACTGGTCCTGTCCGAGGCTTTGCTCAACGTCCAGTCCACCAGGGACTCTGGGACTTGCTGGAGGCTGTACGTCCAGTCCACCAGGGATTCTGGGACTTGCTGAAGGCTCTACGTCCAGTCCACCAGGGACTCTGGGACTTGCTGGAGGCTGTACGTCCAGTCCACCAGGGACTCTGGGACTTGCTGGAGGCTCTACGTCCAGTCCACCAGGGATTCTGGGACTTGCTGGAGGCTGTACGTCCAGTCCACCAGAGCCTTACTTACAGAGTAAGTAAGGCTCTGGTGGACACCCGCTGGAGGTTTAGTTTATGAAAGGCTCCTCAATAAAATAACGTTCTAAAGTTCAGCAAATATTAGGGAATGTTAATGTGAAACATAAACAAACTTGATCATACTAGAATATGATAGTATTGATAACATAATAATAAAAAAAATAATAATGATAACATCAGTTAGAATCATGTGAAGCATTCCAATTTTCTAGAGGGAGCAGGAACAAAAACCAAACGTAAACTTGCCTGTGTGACCTTACCTGCCTCCTGTGTGACCTTACCTGCC